TTTAAATTCAATTCAATTTGTTAGCGTTACATTGAACGAAAAATATTTCCTCAATTTTCTCTACAATTATAATAAATTTTATTTTGGAAATTAGTAAGCGATTGAGTAAATTTGTTTCTACCTAGATTAACAATAATAATATCTTTTCTAATTATTTTTTTTATATAATTGTTCATACTAAATTGTAATTTCGATTATTTGCGTTAATAGTATTAGAAGCGTTTGTCATCTTTCTATTTTGAAATTTGAGTAAAGAAATATCACAGAGCATTCGGTTCCAAATTGTAACAAAGCACGGAATAGAAATCTGCTTATGATGTATTAACTTCGTGAATTTTTATGAATCTTGATGTATTTTACAAAACTTTATTTTATTATTATTTAAAAATTTGGTAAAGTATTAATTGGAGTCATATTTTTATTCAATTGAAATTCCATTAATTTGATATTTTAATTTTGCTTTTTGAATAATTTTTTTGTAATTTATTTTGTTATATTTGACATATTAATATTTTCATAGTTGTATTTTTATTTTTATTGATAATAATTACGAATAACTATGAATTTTGAGCGTTCAAAGCAGATTTAATGAGACCAATAACAAAAATAGAATTTCTATCACCTTTAATTATTTATTCACTTAGAACAAAAGTAATTTTGATGCGTAGTACCAATAATTAAAAAAAAATATAATAATAATTTGTATCAATTATTCGGAAATTAAATGGCCACTCATATTTTTTTAATACTAACATTCTAAATATAATAATTTCAATTTAATATTTTTATATTTTATAGTACAAATAGAATGTTCAAAATAGAATTTGAAAATTAAAGTTATAAAATCAAGAGGGCCTAGAAATGTATTAATATAGAAGTATGTGACAACACACAATTTTTAGACGAATTATCACATCTTTCATATATTCTATCTAGATGTAATGCATCAGAATAGCAACAAGTGTGCAAGTTATTTTTTTTAGAATTTTTGTATTGATACAGGATTCTCATACAGGTTCAGTTAGAAATAATCGAGAGCTCTTTAAACATCATATTCCAAACAGTAAACTGAATCTGGAGCAGAGTATTTTGATCATTATTTAAAATTCGAATGAAATAAATAAGTTATCAGATAAAATTAAACAACTTATGATTCGTAAAAAAAGAGAGATCTTGCACCTTGTGAATATTCTTATGCAAATAGAAAAGTTGTTTTTATTATTTTATAATCCTAGTAGAAACTTCATATGTATCAAAATCAATTAATGATAGTGATAATCGATCAAATAATTATCATATCACATAAATTTTTAAAAGTTTTATTGATGTGTAAATAATATAAATCAAATAGGTCAAAACATTAATTTTTGCTACCTAATCATTTTAATGCTGCGTGTATTGACAAAGCAGACACACAAAATTATGCAACTTGAGCAAATTTATATGGTATTAGATTGCAAACTGTATCAATTAAGAATAACCTAATATTGTAACTAATTATTGTTTATAATATTTTGCTGTATTATTAAAATCCATCCTTTGAAATTAAACAAACTGTTGAAACTAAATAATTTTAATAAACTATTAAAAATTACAATATGCATCAAAATGTTACAACAATATTAGATTTTTAAAAGGTTAGATATTATTTTTTTTTAACCAAAATTATCATCAGAATTGTAAACTAATTATTATATTGCAGACATACTACAAAATTTTATACTTTTACGTTTCATATTTTGCAAATAATTTTCAATTTTTTCTTCTCTCTTTTGCTATAATCAATTATACCTAGATTGCTATTTTTAACTTTTTATATTTATCGGGGACGATAAATTTTTTAAGAGGGGAAGAACCTCAAAAACTTGCATTTTTTTTTTCTTTTATGTTTCCTGAGGACAGGCAACAATCTTTAGGGGTGGCGTATTGTGTAATAATGCATTTCGTGCGGTTTTAATAAATAACCAAAGTACAAGGCCAAAGCACGAATGCGGAAGTGCACATATGTCACGTCCTATACTGAATAAATAGAGTAGTGATTGTCCAGCAAATTCAGTGATGTCTTAGGAGAGAGTCTTGTCTAATAATGTCTTACAGAGAGTATGTTTTAACACGAATTTATGTCAGTTTGTGATTTGAAAGTTCATTAAAGATTAAATAAAGTGACAGTCAAAATAAATTCAGTGTTTCTATTAGACTTTGCGTATGAGACTCTTTCAGCCTATACCGGTATAAAGTGCTCACGGTTCCGAGGAGATTTCTACCAGTGTTATTGTTTTATATTATAACTATACGCTCTGCCCACGACACCAGGAAAGGGTTGGACGGATTTATCGCCCAATTGGAGAGTGAATCAACCAACATTTGGAACCCAACCCAATTCAACAAACACCCCATATCATTTCAGAATAGTTCTTGATTCTTTGATATGCATATGTTGCGATGGTGAACCAGCAAATACAGGCGTAAAAAGTCGATTTGAAATTCAGTTAAATAGGCCACTGCATTGGTTTGTGTGTCTTCTCCACTTTAACAAACTTCTATTTTGCCATTTATTTAACTATTTGGAAAAATCATTGACCACTGGACCACGAACAAAAACTGGAATATTAAGCAAACAAATTGAAACATGCGAAAATATACCGGTGAGTTATAACATATTTACTATTTTTTAATACCCTATGTAATTTATTTTTTCTTATCTACTTCCAGCCGGTAACAGACTTTGAAACAATCCCACTTGAAAATTTGGCTGATTTAAGTCCTGCTGAATCGACAACTGACTCAAGTTATTTAATAAAAATAGCTAAAGCAGTTGCTTCTGGAGAAGTATCGACAGACTTAGCTAACATGAAACCAGGGCCAATAGCACATTCCCGTTGGCTCACGAAGGCTAGTAGGTTACTTTGGTTATATGTAACTACTAATAATCCATCCAAAAATTTGAAAATTCTGGCAAACTACGTAATGAAAGTATATATTCCAATGTACTTTAACATTAAATATTATAACTCTGTGGTATATGGTAGTATATTATTTTATAAATTTATTAGCTGGACGCAATATTTAGACTCGAATTTAAGACAAATTGTGAACAATGTTGCTAAAGAAAACGCATACTATGCTCACTCGGAAATTATTTTATTAGCAATGTTATTTTATATTAAAAAGGAAATACGAGATTCAGCTATAATAACAATCTTATATTACCGTAATAATGTGAAAGACCTGACGCAACTAAGAGATTACAAAACACCCGAAATAAATTTCGAATGCACCGACTATACTAATATGATAGATATGGATGATTATTCAAATATATCTGAACCAGCCTTTACGCTAAATATTCCTCATGAACATCTAGTACAATATCTACAAAGCAATGAGTGTCCATGGAGTGACCCTAAAATTCCCGTCCACATTCAGAGAACTGAGAGACATGTTCAATTACTGGCTAATGTATCAAAACGCGTATTAGAGCAAAATCGCGAAGGAGTTATGACAGCGACACTACTATCTCGTGAAAAGCATCCTCGACTGGAAATCAAGCAAGAGTTAAGATATTAATTTATTTTAATTGTATTAGCTAAATGTAAGAAATTTTGTTTTAAATAAAAATATAACTTAAAGAAATAAAAATGTAGTATTTAAACCATGTCATGTAAATAAATAATAGAATAAATATATGTCATTCCTAAAAACCCAAAAACAATATTTTTCTCCCAAAGTCGTTTGACCTGTTTCGATGCAAGATTCTAGGTTAGGCTTACTCGCTAATGTCGCCCAAAAGTTTACTTGATGTAGTTTGAGGTACCCGTAAGTTACTGATTTCAAAAAGGCGAAAAATATTTTTAACCTGTTTTGTGGCAAGATTCTAGGTTAGGCTTACTCGCTAATGTCCCCTAAAAGTTTACTTGATGTAGTTTGAAGTACCCGTAAGTTACTGATTTCAAAAAGCCGAAAAATATTTTTAACCTGTTTTGAGGCTAGATTCTAGGTTAGGCTTACACGCTAATGTCCCCTAAAAGTTTACTTGATGTAGTTTGAGGTACCCGTAAGTTACTGATTTCAAAAAGCCGAAAAATGTTTTTAACCTATTTTGAGGCAAGATTCTAGGTTAGACTTACTCGCAAATGTCCCCTAAAAGTTTACTAATGTAGTTTGAGGTACCCGTAAGTTACTGATTTCAAAAAGCCGAAAAATATTTTTAACCTGCTTCGATGCAAGATTCTAGGTTAGGCTTACTCGCTAATGTCCCCTAAAAGTTTACTTGATGTAGTTTAAAATTATATATAAATACTGAATATTTTGCTAAAAAAGAAATAAATATACTAAATATTTTATTATAAAAGAATCGAAATATTTATAGGTTGGAAGTTACTACTTATTTAGAGTATATTACAAAAATTAAATAAAAATAGCAACTTGCACGTATTCTGCAAATTGACAACTTGCACGTATTCTGCAAATTGACAACTTGCACGCCTTCTGCAAATTGACAACTTGCATGTATTTTACACATTGACATCTTGCACGCATTTTGCATTATAGATAACTTATACGTACTTTGCTTATTAGCAACTTGTACGCATTTCATTTAATTGGTAACTTGTACGCATTTCCAAGAAATTTAGCAAAAAACATCCTCCCTATTTAGAATTTAATGAATTATATCATATATTTATAATAAAACTTTATATCATATATTTATACTAAAACCATATATTTTGTAAACTCACAAAATTTTTATAACTATTTTCTTAGTAATATGGTTATTGAAAGAAATAATGAATATTTCTAGTATTGGAATTTGTCGATAAGTTTTGATTTACATGCTGACTTACGCACGTTGTACAAGATAGCTAAGTAGATACCGAAGAAGTGTCACATGTACAGCATGTACAAGTTTTCGACTATCAAGTCTACTGATTGTGGCATACTGCAATGCGACGGCTTAAGGCTTATGCTCTGATAGCGTGGGGTGACGTCAAGCCAACATGACGAATCCCCAAGCCAAGGAGAGTCTTAACGGATCGCAGCGTGGTAACTGCTCTGCCGAGTACAACACCCCGCCAGGTACCTAAGTCGTTTACAAACGATTCCGAATCTCTACATCGAACTAGTGACCCATGATCGACCGCTATAGGCAAGACAAATATAACGGACGGATACCGCCACTGTCCAGCGCCTCATTCAGCTAAAAACGGCTCGTGCAATAAACGGTGTGTGCCGAATACCTAATAAATTACATTGTATTGAGCCTTTCGACTCACTAGATATCGTTGCTAGAGACTCCTAGAGATATCGTTGCTTACTTTGTCTAGAAAGGATACGGCCTTAGAGGCGTTCAGGCATAATCCCACGGATGGTAGCTTTGCACCACCGGCCGCTCGACCGAGTGCGTCAACCAAATGTCCGAACCTGCGGATCCTCTCGTACTGAGCAGGATTACTATCGCAACGACGTTTCATCAGTGGGATAAAACTAACCTGTCTCACGACGGTCTAAACCCAGCTCACGTTCCCTATTTGTGGGTGAACAATCCAACGCTTGGCGAATTCTGCTTCGCAATGATAGGAAGAGCCGACATCGAAAGATCAAAAAGCAACGTCGCTATGAACGCTTGGCTGTCACAAGCCAGTTATTCCTGTGATAACTTTTCTGACACCTCTTGCTGAAAGCTCTTCCAGCCAAAAGGCCATGCTTTCTCAGTCCCTGTGCACACTGAACAACGGGATTAAGCCAGTATTTGCCCTTTTGCTTTACGCGAGGTTTCTGTCTTCGCTGGGATGGCCATAGGACACTACGTTATTATTTGACAGATGTACCGTTCCAGTCAAACTCCCACCTTGCAGTTTCCTCGAATCGGATCACGCTAGAATATTGTTGGCGATCGGCGCAATGCCTCACACCACTCTTATGCGGTTGGCTCTAGAAAACCGTGACAGTCGGAACGCAAGTTCTCGACGCACGCTTTCCGCCCAATCGAGTGAGTAAAGAAACGATGAAAGTAGTGGTATTTCACAGACGATATTACTATCTCCCACTTATGCTACACCTTTCATGTCTCCTTACAATGACTAGAGTCAAGCTCAACAGGGTCTTCTTTTCCCGCTATTTTTTTCAAGCCCGTTCCCTTGGCACCGGTCGCCAGGTTGACCAGGTAGTGTGGGATTAGGCCCGAAGGCAATACCCACTAAACCTAACTCCTAGTATTATGCCTGACGGTATGTTGTGCGCAGGCAGCACGCTGTATTCCAGGTTTCATTCTACCCTATCCCCTGGCGTCTCAAGGACGTTGTTTTGGTCCAAGCGCTGAAACCGTTGAGTCCTCCGATCAAAACTCTTGTAGAAATAATCTTTAAATCATCTTTCTTAATAATTTTGCCTGACAGCAGAAAGTTTGCAGGGTCCATGTGCCACACGCCTCTGTTATTTAAGGTAACAGTACTATATATCACTTCAGATGCGTTGTACTTCTCTTTTATCTGGGCGTCCAAACTTTTATAATGCTCTATCTTGCGTTTATGAGCTAAATCCATGTCTACGTTGCTCCCAACGATTTGTGTGTCAATCACAATAGCAGATTAGAGTCATAGTTACTCCCGCCGTTTACCCGCGCTTGCTTGAATTTCTTCACGTTGACATTCAGAGCACTAGGCAGAAATCACATTGCGTCAACACCCGCTAGGGCCATCGCAATGCTTTGTTTTAATTAGACAGTCGAATTCCCCTAGTCCGTGCCAGTTCTGAGCTGACCGTTGAATGGCGGCTGAAGAGTACGTCTGACCGACCGAAGCCGGCACAGAAACCTCGCAAAAAGAAAAATTCGCGGGGGGCCTAGGCACGGGATCAAGCTCGGATCTAAGTCACAAGGACAGTTTCACCTCGCCCAGGCCCGGAACATCGGCCTACGCCCGCTTCCCAACCAAGCCCGGCACGCCCCGATACTCAGAGCCAATCCTTATCCCAAAGTTACGGATCCAATTTGCCGACTTCCCTTACCTACTTTTATCTATCGACTAGAGGCTCTTTACCTTGGAGACCTGCTGTGGATATGGGTACAAACCAGCGCTACACCTACCGTGGCCCTCTCCTGGATTTTCAAGGTCCGAGGAGAAGATACAAACACCGCCGCAACAGCGGTGCTCTTCGCGTTTCAAACCCTATTTTCCTTCTAGAGGATTCCAGGGAACTCGAACGCTCATACAGAAAAGAAAACTCTCCCCGTATTTCCCGAAGGCGTCTTCAAGTCATTTTGGGATACCCCGACGAACTCTCTTACGAGGGCCCGACTTGTAAACGGTTCCGCTGCCGGGTTTCGGAATAGGAACCGGATTCCCTTTCGCCCGATGGGTGTGAAATTTTATTTAAAATAAAATACACCAACATCAACATAGGATTTCTCCTGGGGCTTAGGATCGACTGACTCGTGTGCAACGGCTACTCACCAGGGCGTCAAAACAAACTATTATGAACGCTTATCATGCCCTGGCGGCCGAGTATAGGCACAACTGTTCAGCGCCATCCATTTTCAGGGCTAGTTGCTTTGGCAGGTGAGTTGTTACACACTCCTTAGCGGATTCCAACTTTCATGGCCACCGTCCTGCTGTCTTAAGCAACCAACGCCTTTCATGGTATCCCATTAGCGTTGTTTAGGCGCCTTAACTCGGCGTTTGGTTTATCCCACAGCGCCAGTTCTGCTTACCAAAAGTAGCCCACTAGGCACTCTAATCTAAATCTATGGCTTCACTATTCAAGCAAGCCAGATATCTCACCCATTAAAGTTTGAGAATAGGTTGAGGTCGTTTCGGCTCCAAGGCCTCTAATCATTCGCTTTATCGGATGAGACTCGCTTATCGAATGCCAGCTATCCTGAGGGAAACTTCGGAAGGAACCAGCTACCAGATGGTTCGATTAGTCTTTCGCCCCTATACCCAGTTCCAACGATCGATTTGCACGTCGGAATCGCTACGGTCCTCCATCAGGGTTTTCCCTGATTTCGACCTGACCGGGCATAATTTACCATCTTTCGGGTCCTAGCGTTTACGCTCTGAGTGCGTCTCTTCTCGCAATGAGAGTGAGACGCCCCGGGATTGCAAGCACGCATCTGTAGATGCGGCCCGTCATCCCTCAGTTTACTTAAGCAAATCTTTACGTTCATTGCGTCTTTAGGTTTTGTATTTCCTAATGACTCGCGCACATGCTAGACTCCTTGGTCAGTGTTTCAAGACGGGTCCTGAAAGTACCCAAAGCAATAGCATCGCTGACCGGTAATAGAGTCCGTCCGAGGACACGGTAGCTAACAGCTCGAGGCGGCATTGATGCCGGACCAGGTCCGTCCGTGCTTGCAACCGGCCGAACGCTTAAAAGCGACCCTATACCATATCGTTTATACCGTCTGGCAGTCGACCGGAGCACGCGGGGTCTGACGCGAATAAATTCGTGACAGGCTACCGCCGCAGTCGTAGATCGACACCAAACGGGTCGCGTCCTACTGAGAGAGAAGTGCATACCATCGCCGCCTGACGCATAAGCTGACGGCGTATCGCAGGACGAATCCCGGTCGATCGCACGCTAATAAATGGAAGACGACGATAACATTGAATCCCTTCTTTCAATCTTCCGCCTGAACGGTTTCACGTACTCTTGAACTCTCTCTTCAAAGTTCTTTACAACTTTTACTCACGGTACTTGTTTGCTATCGGTCTCGTGGTCATATTTAGCTTTAGATGGAGTTTACCACTCACTTAGAGCTGCACTCTCAAGCAACTAGACTCTGAGGAGAGATCCGGGCCTGGCACCTTCTATGGGTAAATGGCCCCATTCAAGATGGACTTGAACTCGCCGCAACGCACCTAGATAATCGGATCCTCCCTAACACTACATTTTTCAGCGTACGTCTCCGGCCGCGGAATTTAGTGCTGGGCTCTTCCCTGTTCGCTCGCCGCTACTAAGGGAATCCTAGTTAGTTTCTTTTCCACCGCTTAGTAATATGCTTAAATTCAGCGGGTAATCTCATCTGCTCTGAGGTCGTATTACGATTATGATGTGCTCGCAAACGTTAGCGCACACAAAATCGACGAGAAACCTGTGAATCGTCCTAATTTGAAAGAACGAAACCGCATTTCGAAGAGTTTGGGTTTCCGGTTATCAGGAGGGTCGCAAGAATATAAAATCTCTAGGACACACAGCCCGCCGTAATCTCACAGAACGTCAACGAACGGTAATGTCCGATGTTGCAAAGTGGACTGTATCACGCGTTGAGTGAATTATTTAAGAGCACGCATATACGCGAAACTCCATCATTCGCCGGCAAGCCGTTTAAAGCAAGCGGCAGTCTGGTAATGTTATACGACTCTCAGCCAGAGGTGGTCCGGGAATTATGTATCCTGCAGTTCACATGTCGACGCGCAATTAGCTGCGTTTTTTATCGACCCACGAGCCAAGTGATTTATACATGTTTCGATCGTGATACCCTCGAAATCGTTTAAGATAACTCGGGCGATTCTGAAACTAGTATGTTTATTATGGTTGCAATTAGTACTCCGTAAAGCATTCGCTTTTCGGTCCGAGATACAAGATCTCGTTTCAAAATTGAAATATGAATATTTCATTGTGTGTGAGATTGAAAAATCTGCGTTTGTTGATCTTTCATTTTTTTAAAACAACGCAATGAAGCGAATGTTCAAATTCGCACAATTTGAGTAAAATGTGCAGAGTGTATAGAATACTAACGCAAGCGTTTACTACAATCGATTTTGAAATACTAGACGTTCGCCTAGCGCCCAGAGAAATGATTGAACTACGAGTTTGAGTATAATATTCAAAAGAAACGCTGTTTTCACAACGAACTTCGTTATTCGCTCAGGAATCTGATGATACCGAGCAGATATACATGGCAGTGCTCTCACAACAATGCATAAGCGCGCTAAGCGGTTGTAAATCGCTCAATGCACGCTGTATAGATCTCAATGAATATAATACGAATTTATATATAGTTATATTATTTTTTTAAATTATTTGTTTAAATTTTCTAATTTTACAATAAATGTTCTCACCAGTTTTCCTCGATTTTCTCTTAAACGGTAAAAGATACAAAAAAACTTTGTTTGTACGAAAGATGCAGAATAAAATTACGAATAAAATGGTATATAAATGGTTAAGTGTGTTCATATAATTTTCTCGAGATTTTCCAATTTTCATAACTGCAACTCGTCTGTAGGCCACACTCTGCAAAATTCGAAGTTGTGATGTATGGAAAAAGATCTAAGAATTTTGAGACCTTTCTAATGATGTATAATACTTTATATGTTTTCTTTAGAGAAATATCGTTCCGTGAAGTGTGTTGCTCTAACTTAAACGCACTTTGCATTTCAATGTGCAAATGTCTGGTGCCAGCAGCCGCGATAATATAGTGAATAATCACACAGATTGTTCTATACTATCTAAACCGTAAAAGATACAAAAAAAACTTTATTCGTACAAAAGATGCAGAATAAAATTACGAATAAAATGATGTATAACTTGATATATGTCATAATATAATTTTTATGAGATTTTTTAATTTATCCTTTAAATTAACAAAATGTTTTAAATTTTTCGCTGGCTTTAAATTTATTTGCGGGTTATGCTTTCTTTTACAATATTGTTTCAAATGATGTAAAAAGTTAAATTAGCGAGGTGCCTCTATATGCAAAAAATTGGCCCAATCTAATATATATATGATTTGGTTGTTAATTTTGATGTTGAGATATATGAATAAGTTCTTGTGGGGTTTATATGTATATGCGTATATATGAACTTATATATTTACTCATATACTCTTTTTTCTTTTTTTCTTTTTTATCTATCTAATATCTAGTTTCTATTACTTTTTCTATATTTTATTTTTTGTTTGTTGTTAAGTGTTGCTGTTTTGTTAATTTTTCTCTTATATTTATAGTTTCTATACCAATCCACATATATTATAATTACCTAGTTATACTAATTTTTTATAATGTTTTTAGATCCATTGATGATGACATTAAGTTGAATGTCGAAACGTTTGGAATTAAAGATTAATTTATATATCTTTGCTTTTTATTCTTTGATGTATCGCCCCACAATAACTTACTCATATATATATATATATATATATATATATATATATATATATGATATATATATATATATATATATATATATATATATATATATAGGTTCGTCGTGGCGAAAGTCGTTAACGCGTTGACTTATTGCAGACATTGACTACATACATTGATATAGCAGACACACGAATTATACAACTTGAGTATTAAATTGCATACTATGTCAAAAATAAGCTGAGACAGAAAAAATAGTAGTCAAATTACACTTATATATAAAATCAATTATTACATCGAGTATTTTATATAATTCCTTTAATTCTCTTTTTATATATTATAACTCCTTTAAAACATATATTATTATTGAAATTAATTTACTTGTGATTTTTAATTTTGTGTTATTTGAATTAAATGCAATCTTCATTAATTACAACAAATTACAATGAAATTTTTTTAAGTGTTTTTTAAAGCAAATATTGATTGATTTGTGATTTTGATTTTGATAATGATTTTTTTAAATAACATAATTTTTGTAATTTTAAATTTACCTAAACAAATATTTCAGATTATTTTATGGAATTAAATAACTATTATTGAAGTTTTAGGTAAATTTAGAAAATTTTTGTTTATTAAATTTTTAAATAAGATCAGATTAAAATTATGCTCAAGTAATTATTGAGGACAATAATTTTTCCAAGGGGGAGGAGGAGCACAAACTCCCGTAATTTTTTTTTATTAATCTGTTAAGGGACTGACAGACACTTTAGGGGTGGCGTATTGTGTAATATCAATCGATAATGCTGCATTGGGTAATAGCAATGCTGATATGCTAATTAACATAAATTCGATATCGATTGCAGTAATTATCACAATCAGCAAATATTTTAAATACGCCATCGTAAGGTGTTTGTAGTCCCACTTAAGTAGTATATAAAGAGTACTGATATGAGTTGAAGCCAGAGTTGTCTTTATAACATCAGAGTTGTTTTAATTATATCATAGTTGCCATAGTCACATCAGAGTTGCTGTAGGCCACAGCATAGTTGCTGTTGGCCTCAGCAGAGTCGCGGTATTAGTCGTATAAAGATCATTGTTAATCATTGTAAGTGGGTGCTAATAAAGTATTGTTAAAAATAGTCAATCAGTGTTGTTCTTTAGAAGTGATAAGATATTTCAGCCAATATCTTAATAAGAACTCAAGGCAATCCGAAGCCTACTATTACTATAACCACCGCTCGGCAAGGCTGTATTGACTAGGAGGTCAATACGAACCACGTTACCAACAACCCCATTACATTTCAATATATATATATGTTACTAACTATCTAAGGTGCCACCTGATCAGATATTTCTTCGAAAATACTTTTTTACATGCCAGTTTGTACTCAAAAATCTGCTGCCAGTTTGTATTCAAAATTCCGGTGGAGACACCATGTACTTTTTACAAGAAACATTGATTTACATTATTTAAATTGCTCGAACTTCCCATACCGTAAACTAAAATTTAAAACTTTGAATAAATTTGAATTTTGTGAATTGTTAAATTGTTGAAAAACTGTTTTTTTTGAAAAATTAGAGTTTTTTTATTTTTTTTTAAATTTTTTTCAAATGTTGAACTTTGAACAGCAATCGCGCCGCATAGCTTTTTTAACTTCCCGAAGAAGTTTATGTTTAAGTCAAAAAATCCGATTCGCTAATTTTATGTTTTCTAAAGTCTCAAAGTTTCAAGTTTATATATCGAATGAGACTTCAAATCAAATTTGCAAAAATTAGGTTCGTTTTTTTGGCATTTGTTAAAATTCGATTTTTCATCGACGTTTGCACGAAAACGCCTGAACCGATTTCATAAATTTAAATGCCATTTGATGTATTTCAATGAGGACTATTGTTTGTCAGTTTTGTGCGACGTACTGCCGAGCCGTTTTTTAGTAAATTGGAAAAAAATGTTAAACTTTTCGTCCACATTTAAACTCATACTACCAAATCGATTTTAAAAAAAATCGTTCCAAAGATATTAGTTGAGAATGATACTGATTAGTTTTAGCTGAAAATTTATCGAGCCGTTTTCTTGTGATTAACTGTTTAAAAAAAATTAAGCTGATTTTTATGGAACTTGTTTTGGTGATATATATCATGGTCTTATAGAACTTAATTTTAAAATTTCATCAAAGTATAAAAAAATGAGCAGTTTTTTGACGTTTGTTAAAATTGAAATTAGACGATTCACTTGGTATAACTATAGAGTACTTGGTCTTAATGAACATACTGAATCATTAAACTTTTACGGAAACTGGTTCAATATAAAAATTATTGATTTTTGAAAATTTGCTTCTAGAACATACCCCGAGTTAACATGTTTGTTCGTTTTCAATTATTTATAATAAATCCACTAGGAATACTTTTTAAATCACTAATAAGTTAATTTATTTTATGTGCTACATTTTCAGAATTTCCATTTTCAGCGCATAGTGCACATTTTGCTGCATTTATACAGTTGGTTATTTTGGGACTTCTTGTCCATATCTAATGCATTGATTGGTCCGATTCACTTCGCTCTTGCACTGTAATCCATAATGTCTGAATATCCAGCATTTAAAGCATCGGATTGGTTTCTTGATGGTTTTAATTCTACAGTTGATCCATCCAATTCGTATTTTGCTACTTGCTCTGCGCAGATCATGTACAATTGACGCTGGTAGAGCTACAGTAGCAATCTGGGTACGTTTGTATGCCTTACGAATTTTAATTGCTTCTGCTGGTGTGTTGCAGGCTCTTCCGTTTGCTTTTTGTAGTGCAGACTGGATATCAATTTTTGAGGTTTCATCATCAATATCCCTTATTTCTTGGTACTTCTTATAGATTCCTTTGGTCTCATCCTTTAACACACCTGCAGTAATCTGTTGTAGTCCTTGGCCTTTGTCCGCGCTTTTCTTGGAAATGGTTATCAAC